GTTTCTAGCTGTGCTCCCACTCCTTCCCTTTTCCTTTTAGTAATACTTTACCCCACTTGCTGATTGCTTGGTTTCTTTAGCAGCTAATTGTAAGGAGTTTGTCAAAGGCCCTTTGAAAGCCTGAATAAATCGCTCCAGCTGGTTCTCTTTATCCTCTGCTTCAACTGGCATTTTAGCAGATGTGAGATACTCTATCCTTTGTATGGTCTCTGTTGTATGAGACCTTCAGGGGAATTTTCCCTCTGTGTGTGTTTGTGCAGAAGAAAAAGCCTGTTAAACCCACTGGGGCTTACTTACTTCCAAGGAAATATGCATAGGATTGACTCCTACTTGGTCCAGGTAGGAGCTTTCTCTTCCAAATTATACTTGGGGAGGAAAATAAGTAAAGCAGGGCTGCTTGCACAGTTTTTCTTGAATGCTTTACTGTTTTGTTGCGGGTTGAAATGCTGGGAAGAAGGAAGAGTCAGAGACTTGTAGAGTTTTCTGATGGTTATAGAACAGAGATAAGAAGCAGTGTGGATCCCCGAGTCCTAGGCTGCATCCGCACTGCAGAAATAATCCAGTTTGACATCTCTTTAACCAATGTGGCTCAATATATATGGAATTCTGGGAATTGTAGTTTGTTGTGGCACCAAAGTGTTGAAATATGGACCAGATCTAGAACTTTGGTCATTATAAGGTTAATGCTGAGTTGCTGAGATAGAAATGGCTTTCAGCAGTATGTATTATCTTAATCAGCTGCTGAGCCTTTATAAGGTTAGCTTTCTTTTGGGACTCTTTTTTAGCCTTTCACTTTTGCACTATATTTTGTCTTACCCTGCTTCACTTTTCAAGAGCCAGGATGGCATAATGGTTTGAGCATTGGATTGCAACTCTGGAGACCAGGTTTCAATTCCTTGCTCTGCCATTAAATCCACTGGATGCCCATGGGCAATTCACATGCGCTCAGCCTCAGGGGAAGGCAATGGCAAATCTCCTCTGAACAGATCTTGCCAAGAAAATATCATGATAGGTTTGCATTAGGGTCACTATAAATCAAATGACTTTATAGGCACACAACAACCATCAAGACCATGAAGGAAATCCACACTCATATATCACCCCATCTGCAGTGAAAAAAAAAAAACTAAAGAAATCAAAATTTTGTTTCAAGTTCATGTCTAATACCTGCAGTAAATCAATTATTTACAGATTCTGCAGCCTTATAAGACATGTTTATTGCCACATAGTTTAAACATAATTTAAAACGCCAAAAATCTTTTAAAATCTTAATACTAAAAATGTTAAAGTAGTCTAACCATAGTGAACCTCATACTCTAAATACAGAAAATATAATCAATCGGAAATGACTTGAAGGCACACAACAACAATAAAGTCTTCTTTTCAGGATAAGCTCCTAGGAAAGCAGATTACAATATATTTTAAATTGCAAGAGGTCGTCAGTCTGTAGAAACAACCATATATAATACACAGATCAGTGAAATAACCAATAAGGTAGCAAAAGCAGATAAAAATCTCATACTAAGAGGACATGCACTAAAATTAATTAGATGCAGGCTGGATTAAATAGATTTTTAAAAGCTTCCTAAAGGTCAGAAAAGATTAGGCCATACACATGTCTAAGGGGAGGGAGTTCCAAAGATATGGGAACATTGGCCAGAAAGCATGGTGGCTTACTCATTTATTTTTTATGTATGTATTTAATTTATTTACACTTTACCATTCAAAGTTTCTCAGAGCAACTTACAGTTAGTTTGACAGTTCCCTATCCTTAGGCTTACAAACTAAATAAAGACTTGCCTACACAAGGGAGAAAACCTTTCCCCCCCCCCCGCGCCAAATCTGGCATGATAAGGCCACACAATGTGCAGCCTTAACCCCAAATCTGGTGTGATAAGGCCTCATGAAGTACGCCCCGTCTGCATCAAACTCTGGGTATACCATCTTAACCTGGATTTAAAAAATTCAGTCTTCCCCCCAAAGTTTGCAGGAAACTCCAGTATTTCCTGCAGTGTGAACAATGGATCCACTCTGGATTCAGGTTGGTTGAGAGGCAGGACAGATCACAAATATTTTATATTTTTGCTATAATCCTGCCTCGATCCACAGGGAGAGGTGGGAAAATACAAATAAAAATTATTATTATTATTATTATTATTATTTGCCTCAATGTCCAGGACAGTTCCCAGCCCAGAATGGTTATAGAAAGGTTTTTCCATCCTCAGCGCTGCTGTTGCTGGCATGCAGTTGCCTGCTCTGAGGTCAAAAAAGAGGCACCCATATCACAACAGTGCCAAGGAGTTGATAGAGGAAAGGCAGTGGTGGTGGGAGCTGGTGGAAGAAAGGCAGTGACCCAATGCAACATTCAGATGCAGGGGCAAGTGTAGACATCTATCCAATATCCCTGCAGAGAAACAGGTAGCTGGGTGGCTCTGGGGCAGGTCCAGAGCAGAGCAAGTTGGGGAGCCCTTCTGGACCTTTGCCTCAGTGTACGATAGCCCTACGACACAACACAGGGAAAAGGGCAATGTAGGGCGAGAATTACGTTCAGCAGTTCCTTGCTTTCTTTCAATCTCAGAGGCCACAGCAGAGGCTCCTAAAAATGTACTTTAGATAGGATGCAGGTATGAGGATGATGATGATGATGCCTGGCTGTTCTCCTTTTCCTTCAGAGTCCACAGCAATTGCAGCTGGAATACAAAGGAAGGAGCTCTCACCAGCCACTGGGGTTCAGGGGTGAGTAGTTCCCTGACTACTTTTCTGTTCCTCATAAGCCAGAGTAGTAGAATCATAAAATCATAGAATGATAGAATTGGAAGAGATCACAAGGGCCACACAGTCCAACCCCAATCTACCATGCAGGAACTCACAATCAAAGTACCCTTGACAGATGGCCATCCAGCCTCTGTTTAAAGATCTCCGAAGAAGGAGGCTCCACCACTTTCCTAGGGAATGTGTTCCACTGTTGAACAGCTCTGACCATCAGAAAGTTCCTCTTGAGATTTAGGTTTTCCTATAAAAGCCCAGGCATGACAGAAATGTGCCTGACTGCCCTTTTCTCCCTCAAAGACCAGAGATGGACAGGAAAAAGATATTGAAATCTGTGTGGTAATAATCAAATATTAACTAACTAAATGTAATTTTAATAGACTCAAAATGCATGAACCCATTTGATACACCCCCCCCATTAATGAGAGTTAGTGTTTTATAGTGGCAGATTATTTAAAATGAATGATTCTTGTCACTGTTTTAAATGTGTTATGGATTATTGCAGTTATGCAGTCTCAAACTGGGCATGTTTACTCTGAAGGAAGTTCCATTGGGCTCAATGGCATTTAATCATACTGCCACATTAGTTTCGTAAGAACAAGGAGTAATTGTATGGCAAAATGTGAGAGTTTCCGTCTACACTTATAGAGAAGGTAGGATTCTGGCAACATAGGATCTGGAAATCTGATTCTCAGATCCTCTTAATATAACCTGCACTTTAAAAATGTTATGTGCAAACAGCCTGTTTCTCGGAATATATATACTTTGGCCATATATAGTATGAGGAAGTGAAGCATGAGCAAAGAGGAGAACAGGAAGTAGCAAGTAGCAACTCTTCAATTTTACAAGGGGAAAATGAGATTTAAAAGCCAACTTTGCTTTGAATGTCTCAATACGTCTATGTGTATGCGTTTGGAAACAGACCTAAAAAGTGATTTCCCCACTGTCTTCCTTGTAGACTTCTTTATTGTCATTGCATTTTTGCAAATTCGTTGTTGTATGCAATACCTGTTGTGTGTGTGTGAATATATATATATATATATAGCTCTTAACATATACAAGTACTATATAGTGCATGGAAGTTAAGTCATATTTTCTGTCATTTTTGATGAGGAGCTCTGGTTGGTGATGATTTCATGACATGTACATATATGATGGAAAGTGCATATTTGACACAGAGTACCCAACTTCTCTGTCTTGGTGCACATGTTTAGGTTATTTTAAAAATCCCCCCCAACCAGGCTTAAAAACGTCATTTAGTTTTAATAAAAACAAGTTCAGTAAGTAGTATTTACAACCACTTAAAACTAAGTCTGACACCTTCTGTAAAACACATTGATTTAAATCAGGTTTGGAAATCATGTGGCCCTTTAGATGTTTTGGACTGGATGTTGTAATAGCCTTAGTTAGCCATCAAAGTCAGTGAAAAGCATGCTGAGATTTGCAGTCCAAAAAATCTGGAGTGTGTCATGATTCTCATTCCCAATTTACTTTACCTTTACCTTTAATTTACCTTTCATCTAAGTCAAAGAAAGGTCAAGAACATGTCATTTATATTGTATTTATTTTGATTCAGATTTATGCTTGTTTAGTCTTTCATTGAGGGGCAGTCTTCTGACCAATGAGTAGTAAGAATGGTTGATTTAAGGTATCCCTATGCATATGAGAAAGCCAACATGATGTAGTTGTTTGGGTGGTAGACTAGGAGTCTGGAGTCAGGGTTCAAATCCCTGCCCAGCCGTGGAAACCCATTGGGCAAGTCACACTCTCTCAGCCTCAGAGGAAGGAAATGGCAAACCTTCCTCTGAACATATGTTGCCTAGAAAACCCTGTGGTAAGCCTTAGGGTTGCCACAAGCCAGAAAAGACTTGAAGTCACACAACATGTGTGAAAACCCTCCAAGATCTCC